GCTAATTCGCTTACAGTATGAAACCCGGTATTTTGTTGATTTTATTTTTTTCTTTTATTTGGCAGGGCGAGAAATCTGTCAAGTTCTATTGAACTTCTTCTGCAACTACTTCGTATCATTACGTCTTTTGCAATCCTAGTTGGCAACCTTCGGAAGACTTTTCTTCCCGCGTCAATAAGATATGTAAGAAGCGGCGATGACGAAAGCCGAGTCATGTATTATTTCAGGCTAGTTTAACTTTGTTTTTTTTTTTTGTTTTTTTTTTTTTGGATCTCAACAGTTATTAATTCCACGAAGAGTTTAAAGTTTTGTTGGCTTTAGAGAGCACTTGGGCTTTTTACTGTAGAAACTAAAAAATTTTTAGTAAGGTTTGCTTTATTTACAGGTGGACAATTTTTTTGGATGTATTTCTGTTTTGGAGCAGTGTTTTATGGGCTTACTGCCTGCAGTGGCATTTGTGTTGTCGGTTAGGACTGTACAAGTTTTGGCTCTGGACCATGACTCTTGTTTGCATTGGCGTTTTTCTAATGATAGTACCTATGATGAAAATGCAGTCGGATTTAGACTCTAGTTGGTGCCGACTCCAACCTAATTCAACATTTGCAAAGTTCCCGCTTATCTGGTGATTTTTTTCCTGGTCACTTCGAAGTTTACCTTAGTTTTCTTTTTTAATTGCATTTTAACGGGTAATTTCTTTGTTGGGGTTTCTTAGCAATCTCGTTAAAAAGAATACTCAACTTTGTTCAACGGATTAACCATTCATCTTGGTAATTGGTGATAAAAAGTTCTTTGCTAATATGCTTAAGAAACTTTCTTAGTTTTATTACATCGCCTTTTTTCACGACGGTGCTGTTTGAGTTATGTTATGCAAGCCATTGTCCGTCATATTTTCTAATTATTAACAAGAATAGAGTACCAGTAATTTGCCTAATAATTATTGAACCGTTGGCCTTCAATAATATTCTTACCATTTCCATTGCTTGTTGATAAGATTTTGTTCTTAGTATTTCCTTTTAAGGATTAGTTTCTTCTGTAGTACCTGAGTTTATTACCGAAATTATAACTGCACTTTTTGCTGCATGGCGAGTAGGGTTCTCAAACTTCGAACGTGTTAAAGCGAGGCATAAGTGGTTTTTTGCTGCATTATAATGCTAGATTTTTGGTTATCTCAATTGCTTTTCAAATATCTCAGATGATTGTCGTTCAGTAGATTGGTCTTATCGTTTAATTTATTTGTCTGTAAATACCGTCAAGAAACTTTGTTGATTCCTGTAATGGAAGGTTAAAATTCTTCACGTTTTGATCTAATTTAGGTCTTTAACAGCGTCACCAATGACGTTGAAGAAACGTTTTTTTTATCTTACTCGAGACTTTCATTTACTCTTGTTTGAGTAATGAAAGTTAATGTTCAGTTTATCACTGGATTAAATAAGCAAATGTCTGCACCGGTCGAACTGGCTGCTAGGCACATTCTCTACGGAGAAGTTGCCTCTATCCATCACAAGTTTCTTCCAAGTTATTTTACTGAGAGCTTTTGTGGTTTCTGTGTCATGTGTGTTACTGTATTGTTGAACTTTTATAAAGCTGCATTTCTGCACACTGAGTTAAAGGAAGGTGTCGCTTGGTTTGTTAAAGTGGCCTGCCAGTATCAAAAAGAAGTGTCATCGAGGGGATTTAGAATTAGCTCTTATGAGCAGGTGTTAAGGCATGCCGAACAGTCGCTAAGGAGATGCAAAGGATTGTAGCATGATTCTGTGGTCGAATGTATTTATGTATCTGGGGCACTTCGTCCCATGCAGCACACCTGAATCGTTCCTTCAGGTTCTTTTTCCTTTTTTTGTCCATTTATAACAATTGCTACCCTGTTTTGAAATCAAAAGAGCTTAAAAGACAGCGCTGGCGGCAAAGTTGGACCGTTCTGAAATGTGGGAAAAAAGGCAGTTTTTGCAAAGTGTCGCAACTGCCAGCAAGCCTGTTTATGTGGGGATCACAACTCCGATATGTCCCTATTTGGAACGTCACTTCGATATTCAAGTACTGTGAGCAGTTGTAGTTGCCAATGCAGTTAAGAGGATTGAATGCTAAATGCGGCGATGTTGATCTCGTAGTGTTACACTGCTCCCTTTATTGCTTAAAATCCTTGAGTACATTGCAACCTGAGGAACATTTCAAATATTTGCACCTGGTATTATAATAAAAAGTCTTCTATCCCAACTCAGATGTTTTACCTAATATAATAGGAACCAAAATCGAGTTTTAAGAGTAAGAAACAAGCTGTAATCAACCGATAAACTTAAGATAATAAACTTTCAAAGCGGGAAACCTACCAGCTGTCCAGCTGCGTGGGGCACAATTTATAAAAGAGAAAGTAAACTCGGAATAAAAAGAAAACCGACCAACAAGTAGATGGAAGGTGAAGCAATAAGAAACCACTTCGGAACTTGGTTTTGGAAAACACTGAACTTGGTTGAGATGCCCTTCGCTTGAAGACTTTTTGAAGTAACAATGCCCTACTGTTTGCTCTCTAAAAACTTCCTTCCAGAGACAGTGCAATGGCTGTTGCCGTGCTTTGAGGGATAGCCTTTCGCGTGCTGTCGCGACATCAAACGTGATCGCATTTAGGGACCTGTGATATTCTCCATTCACGGTGGATTTTTTCAAAATTTTAATTTTATTTGAAAGCCTGGCTTCTGTTGATTCAGAAGAGCGGCAGAATGTACACATCAACGGGTTTTATACAATATTTAAATAGAATAGGAATTTAAAGTTCTTTTAAAAAAAAAACAAAAATTAGATTTTTTGGAGAGGATATTTCTTGAAGCCACATATTTAGTATAACCTTGGAGCTATAAGGTGAATTCTATGTGGGATAACGAGCTACTGTTCGATTGGTGACAACAGACCGCGAAAAATACTGAACTGAAGCAGTGTTTTGGCCTTTTCGCAGGTGACAGGCTCTCTGTTTTAATTAAAACGTCATTAATTATAAAAATATGATCTATTAGAAAATCCTGCAATTTTGCTATTTTTGAATCATCATTACGAAGTTGTAAGCAAAATCTCAAATTAATACACTGCTGCAAAGGTGAAACCAAAGCAACATTTGCGGTTAAAAAGCGGTACTAAGTGCATAATTTTCAGGCCAGAAAAGTTCGACAAGGAAGCAAAGCGTTACAAAACGGAGAGTAATTATAACTGCAATTCTTTTCCTTAAAATTTTATAGAATCATTTGAAAGCAAAAAAATTTTAGCCAGTTACCTGTTTCTGAAATAGAAGAATTAATGGATTTTTCAACGAATTATATATATAATTATGACTAATAGAAACGCCAAAATACCGCGTCAACTGTAGATTTTTTTGTGAGGTACTTTCACTAACAGTGCTGTGACTCACGGTACCGGAATGACACCACTTTTCAACTTTGATATGTCGTGCAAAAATTGGGCTTATATCTTTTTTGAAAAATTTAAACTGTCTTTCAAAAAAGAATGTTTTGAATTCTCGTTTTTTTTAGTTTCGTGTAAATTTTGGTGGTGTAATTGTTTCGCCGCTCTTCAGAATCTGTAAGAAGCAAGCTTTTAAATGAAGCTAAAAATATAAAAATTTATCATAAATGAAGACAACTGCATGTTCTTAAATGAGACCGTTTTTAATAAAAACTACCTTTTTCTCCACATTTAAGAACAGCCTAACTTTGCCGTCGGCGCACTTTTTGAGGTGAGCTCTTTCGACTTTACAATCGGGTATCAAACGCTAAAAACAGGCAAAAAACGAAGAAATCTGTAGGGCCGATTAGAAAAAGTGTACGACTTGGCATGGAACCGCTTTTACATTCATATACTAATTTATTTGTTTATTTACTTACTTATTCAGTTACTTAGTAAACAAGAACTCTTTCTGAAACGACTCCATGTTATCGAAGGTAAAGGATTATTTGCTAGTATTCAGGGTGGCGAGGTATGTTGCGCAGAAAAAGTCATAAGTGTGAGGAAAGAATGAGGGTTCTGCTTTACGTTTGCTACAGAATATCTTATTTGATCACCGTCTGACTGAGGAAAATTTATCTTTAGTGGTGAGTCTTAGTTCAGCTTGAAAGGCAATGGAGGCGGGGTTTATGCCAAGGGAAGAATTTTTGAAAATTTTTTCTTGCTGTGCTGTCGGCGTAGTCAAGTGTGGTGAAGTAATTTTGAAGACTGAATTATACGACTTCTGGAACTGGAGTGGTTTTCTTGAACACGAATGTTTTGGACTCAAAATAATCTTTTGGGTACTGGAGGACCTTATAGCAAAGGAAGATTTAATTAAATAAATAAAGCGTTAATATATAATCAGAAAACGAAATTCAAAGTTGGGAAACACTAGCAATTTGAATGAGGCATTTGACAAAGATGTCGACGTTTTGCTTGGAAGAAAAGCTTTGTAATAATCGTTCGTAGAAATTCCTTTCCCACCTTTGTCTGAAAAACGGGGGTTGTGTGCTGCTTATGAAAATAATCACATAAGAGAGAAGAAGGGAAATTAAGGAAACTATGAAAAATTAGAAGAGAACTAATAGAAAGATCACGCTCAAAGAGTTTTTAGGACAAGGTTAAAAGTTATTTTTCAATTGCAGTGACTTCTATAGAAAGCACTAGCAGTTAGTTGGGAGGTTAAGAGAACTTTAATGTAGAACATACAAGAACAAGGAATCGCTAGGCTGTTGAATGGTCGTTTTGCATACTTTCGAAGTTGACGACGCATCCCCATTCACGGTGCATAAATTTTGAACCTGTTAATAATGCATTATAAGCTTTGCACCTGAGGCCCTCCAATGAAAACTCTAAGATTTTTGGTAACTTATCTTTCCAAGTTTTTTGGTTTGAGAAGGAAATATGTTGTCAGAATCACTGTGTTCCCTCCTGTTCCTACGAGCAGAAGCACTGCATTGCGGAGAAGGGAGATTCTGTATTGCACGAAAAAAAATTTGCTGAACATTGTAATTTGATTGATGCGTTAAATTTTCATGTAAAATCAAAACTTGCGTTTCCTCCTAGTAATACATTTTTTTTTTTGCGTTCTATTAGGATAAACATCAAATTTTAATTGGTAAATTTTAGTGTAATAGAATAAACAGTTATATAGAAACAAAAGTTAGAAAAGTGAATATTACAGTAAAAGCAAGAATACATAGCATTAAAAAGTAATGACTGAACTGAAGGCCGGATAAAGTTGTGCTAGGTAATCAAAATAAAAAAATTAAACAATGCATTGTCAAGAAGGTTTTTTACAAAGGAGTTTAAGAGACGGTCTTTAGCTATAAAATGCATTGAGTGCTGACAAAAAATTTGACCGTCAACGATATGTAATCTTCAGAACCTTGAAATAAATCGTTTCATGCCTCTCGTCTTCTCGTTTCTGCTCTGCAAAAAGCTATGTTTCTTCTACAACATGTTTATGTTTGATCCAACAACAGGTCGCAAAATTGAGATGCAATATTTCTCTCATCAGATGTCTTAACACAAAAGGTCTGCTAACTTTGAAGTAAATAAACATTGCTGAAACGAAAAGCGGAAATTTGTAGCGGATGATGCTGCATATTGTATTAAAACAGCTTTCCTTAGATCTCTTAGAATCTTATGGAAAAATTTAACAGTTATTTATGAATATTAAAATCTGGCAGGTTTTAACACAATGGTTACTGGATAAGCTTCGCGCAAATAAAGACAAACAAGGCTCATATTGACAGGTCGCAGTTCTTGCTGCAGAAGCAGGTGGACGGGGAAAAGTAAAATACACGTGGGGATGCTGCTGCAGACATGTAACGCGGAAATGACGCGGAGAAGAATCTTTGAAAATTTCTCATTATCACTTAAAGAATTAGATTAGAGAGTGGCGTTCAGTCATGAGGTGTGTCACGGGATTTGGGAATTTTGAGTAAACCATTCATATTTTTTAGAATAATTTTTATGTAACTTTATGTGGCATGAAGGTTGCGTACAATTTGTAAAATGCTTTGAACTAGTGTAAGTAAATAATGTAACTGTTTAAATTAAAAGCAGTCTTCCCACTTATTTTTGCAGTTTATCAACCACAGGCACAAGTTTTTAGCGTAAATACGTATCAGAGAAGAATTTCTTTCACTATTTTAACTACTGGAGCATTAATAGTAAGTGAGTGGGCGTAAAAAGACAGTTTGAAATTTTTGTTATAGTCACAAATAGTCAAAATAATCGTAAGAAACCATTGAGGAGCTCTGAAAAATTATAATTTTTTTGTAGTCATTAGATTTTGCGTACTGTGGGGGTGCACAAATATTCTTGTATAAGTAGATAATACTCACCTGTCCTTAAACTTGACTAATTAAACTTTTCAAGTTATGAAATAAATGTTAATCTCAGACATCACTAGAAGAGATTTATTCGTTTTTTTTATTGAAGTAATCGGTGATGAGGTCGTACTGATATAATTTATGGTATGAGCTTGATTTCTGAATAAAGTTGGAGAAAATAGTTGTACAACGTAGGATTTCAAGATTTGAGTGGGGAACTGAGGAATAAGGTACACTTGAGAAAGGACGGGAGACAATGGAAGAAGGAGATTAATTTAGAACCTTACAACAATTTAATTTTTTTTTACCTAATACGCAATATATGCAATTTGCAAGTTACTACCAATTTCTATTGTCTTTCGCAACATTTTTTGTTCCTTTTTTTAGTTTTTAGGTTGCGTTAACAAAATTTGAAAGAAGAAAAGAATTTGCCGTGTTTTTCTTACTATTCATCATTCTATAAATTTTCAAAAATATTTTTCTCACGTTTTTCCACTTTGTGAGACGCATAAAAGATATCATTTATAAAGATTTTAAAAATGTAATCATCTTATCCGCTTTTGTATTTAAAAAGGTAGGGAGAAACTTTAAATTTTTATTACCATGATTGAGAGTCTTATCAATCCCATTGTCTAGTAAAACTTTTCTCCGTTTTTTTTGCGTCTATCCATCTCCAGCGGAAATCTCCAGCAAGGTGACCAGTTCGGGAGGATAAATAAGATTTTGGTGGCTTACGACATATGTAAAAAAAATAAGGCATAGCAAACTTTATTGTTATTAGTTTACAAAACTAAGCCTATATTTTTGTGCTTTGCGAGGTAATTAACATTTTTTATTTCCTTGACGTGGTTTTGAGAGATTGAGTACCACAGTGTTTCAAGCCTTCTTATTTCTTGAATTCTGTACGGTCGTTATTAACTCAGTACTTGGAGATAGTTGTATACCGTAAAAATCAAGAAATATAGTTCTTCCATTGCACATCTGGTTCTACTTCTTAGTGTTCTGCGAAACGACTAGTAAGGTAACTTTGAACTAATGATTTTTGGTTTGAAAGTTAGAACTGTGCTAGTTGAGGTCATTTAACTGTTTGCTTGTTTTTTACTTACAAAAATACGTCATCATACTAAAAAAACAGTATATCTGAAAGTGGAAAAGACCCCAGAAACGTAGCGTATCAATGGAAGAAGAAAGTCTATTACGTGCGTTAAAATTTGCGAAAACCGTGTTTAATAATACTTGCTCAAAAACTAGCGCAGAGTTTCTGATTGGACGATATATGAATAGTTTGAGATATTGAGTCTGATGCATCATTTCTGTGTAAAGTATGTATTTATGAAACTGTTGGAATTAATTTTAATGTTTCATGAAAAAAAAAGTAAGCCAGTAGTGGCACCATCGTGTTACTGAGTAAAATCAGCTGATGTAAAAAACTTGCTTAACTACTTTGTTTTGCCGATTGAGACTACTTAGGTGTGTTTTAAAAGAACTTATATGACAAAAAGCTTTTACTTCTAATAAGTATGACAGATGAAAACAAGTTATTTTAAGTACAGTTGCTTAGTAACATTTTTGGTGAGAAGAAACAACAGGGCGGCGTCGTTTCAAAAAAAAAAAAAAAAAAAAAAAAAAAAAAAAA